AAAAAAAAAAAAAAAAAAAAAAAAAAAAAAAAAAAAAAAAAACCCACGAGGCATGGAAACAAACCTTGTGCCACAAACTCGCACCCCATGATCAATGGATCGAACGGTTGCTTGGTCGATGGGAACTTTCAGAGGATCTTTCCCCGGTGCAGTGACAACAAGCATCTGCGACACCAAGTCTACCCAGGGTTTTACTAGAGCCAAGGAGGGCATCTGCACCATGAAAATGCACACAAGTACATTGGCCACCAAAAAAAAACATGAGTGCGCAAGAGAGAGAGAAAAAAAAAAAAAAAGCAGCAGCAGCAGCAAAACTAGCAAAATTGATTTCACCCTCCCAACCAAAAGGAGAAGTTAAAAAAGGTGGTGGTTTTCGTACGTTCGATTTGACTGCTGCAGTGATCCTGCCATCACCGCCCAATGAATACTCTTTTTGTAAATAAGTTCTTATGTTTCTGTTATTATGTCCTCCTTAATCTACTTTCAATTTTCAAACCTTTTTGTATTCTCTCTGGACTTTTTTTGCCCCCTTTTATTTTAATTAAGTTGCCCTACTGGCTATAATAAATTGACAATTTATTTAAATTTGATATTATTATTTAATAAAAGTATTAATAACGCATATCCATTTTTTTGATGTGTAGCATACATCAGTCATTGCGTTCAAACTCGAACACACAGAAAGCAGTATACACGAAGCACACCACTCAGGAAGGAGAAATCAACCGAGTGCAGGTAATTACTAATTACGAGAGATAAACCATGAAGTCCAGTGATGTCGGGCGAAAAGACCCAACACCGTGTTTCTGCCGGTCGCCCGTCCGCCTTCATCAGGGGTCAAGGTACCTGGCGCAGGATAGGTACCCACCATCACCCACCACCACCCACCATCACCCACCACCACCCACCACCACCCACCATCACCCACCATCACTTTGTAATGTCCTCCTTCATTGACGTTCAAGTTGGTTCGACACTTTTGGTATTCTCTTGGAACTTCGTTTGCCCCCCTTTGCTTTGAATAAGTTGCCCTACGGGCTATAATAAATTGATAGTTTATTTAAATTTAAGATTTTTTTTTTTTATTTTTTTTTTTTTTTTTTGCACAGGGGTGATGCTAATCTTCTCTGTGTCGTTCCAATTTCAACGGATGTCCCGAAGGACATTTAAATTTAAGATTATTTAATAACGCATATCAATTTCTTGTCGTGGGCATTATCACCCACCATCACCCGCCATTCCCCACCATCACCCACCATTGCCAAGATGCCCCATCCTTGTGTATGCTTCGTAAATTCGATGGCGATTCTGTGATGTTGCAAACAACAAACAAGGTAGTAAAGGCATAGTCAAACTAAGACTTTTTTCAGCTGGATTTGGTCGTAATTACAGGCAAAAAACAGTAGAAAAAGTCCTGGTGATAAGCATGACCTCAGGTTAGTCTAGGGATTAGTGGTTCCAAGGAGAGGGATCGTTTCTTCCGACTTCTAAACAGGACTTGAGATGGTTCTGAATTTATTGGCAGGCACCAGATTCCTGCCTTGTCCTGTTTTCACACACATGCATGCACAGGCAGGCAGGCAGAGACACAGAGAGACAGAGAGACAAAGAGAGAGAGAGAGA